GAATTGCGAGTATCCTGCGGGCTGCGATATCATCAGCGTAGTTGACTTGCGCAAACCGACGTTGATACAAATGTTCTCTAACTCGGCGACCTTTTACCATCTTTTGCCGGCCGTATATCTTGCCCAGTTGTATTTCGCTCTGGTATATAGATTGCTTTGCGCTTAATTTTGTCCTAATGGTGTGCGTTTGCTTAATCTCATTATTATTTTAGTTTTTGTTTGGCGAGGTTTAGCACTCTCTTTGCATCGTGAATGTGACTGATCTGTGTATCTGAATTATTCTAATATTTAATATATGGTGGGCTCAGCCCATTGAATCGCGTATTCGTCTACCAATCCTATGGAAAAAGGTGAACTGTCGCGGGAATGGAAAGCTGCCTTTTTCTCCCGACGTAGCAGGCTGTCGTCCGAAAATTGCCGTCCCAATAGTCCAACATCCACTTTGTTCACGATCATAGAAAGAAAAATTAAGGGCTATTAAATGAAGTTTCTGGAGCAGAGGAACCTAATTTTGTTCTCAGGTTAGCAATAGTAAGAGATCCGGGTCGGTAATCTGAGGAGAATGAATTGCTCACCGGATCAGGGGACTTTTCTGGCTGACGTTTCGAAGAGCTGTGGCTGCTCTCTATTGTCAAAGCGTCAAGTGAAATAATCTATCAGCATTTTTGAATAGACTGCCGAATTAGTTGCCCATGGGCTGATCGATTTTTGTCTTCTTTCTCTGCCTTGGCCTACTGGCCGTCGCCTGTGAATGTTGGTGGCCTCCTGTAATACGTGTCGTCACCTCAATTGGGGTTGGTTGCGTTTGCGTTCCCCTTTTGGGTTAAGTGGTCGACTGGCCGTGTTTGCTCGGCATTCTTAGGCTCCGTGTGATTGTCTTGTCTTTGTCACGGTTGTAGTGGCATTTAAGTCTGTTTTGTTTTGATCAGTTACAATACACTTCAACACAACTTTGAATAAGACAAACAACACGCACGTGCACTTTTACCTGCCGACGACTTTGTTCTTATTTACTAGTTTGTAACTGTTGGGACACTGCTATTTTCGTATCCTGGATAGCCTACTCGCTGTGCCCAACTAGTGGGTTTGTCTCTTACACTGGTGACCCTGTATCGTTCATAGCTCCTTCTGTTTAATCTCTGTGCATAACTATTTCCATTCGGATTAATCCTCCCTCTAATTGTTATCGATCAGATTATTCATCTAGCCCTTATTTGCTATCCACACTGTCTCACCCTTTCATCCAATACGAGCGCTACCCTTCCGTCTCACCGTCAACGCGCCAGTCCTCTACCCCATTTATCTGACCTCTGACCGACCCCGGCTAATTATGTCCAGCGATTCTAGCAGCCAGCCGATAGCCGGCATTCACACTTTTGACCTGCCATCCGTGTGGCTCGGTGACATCGCGTTATGGCTGCGCACTGTAGGGTCACGATTCGCCCTCCGTCAGATCACACGAGAGGATACGAAATTTCACTATGTTGTGGCAGCACTCCCAATGGACATCGCCACCGACCTCCGCGACATCATAGATTGCCCGCCCACAGAAGCCCCTTATACTGCCCTAAAGGAGGCTCTCATTTCCCGCATTTCCTTCTCAACGCAAAAACGTCTCCAACGCTTAATTTCTGAGGAGGACCTCGGTGACAGGAAGCCTACGCAGCTTCTTAGGCGTTTGGAGCAGTTGGCAGACGGACAAAAGCTGGATGCCACCATGTTCAAGCAACTTTTCCTCCAACGGTTGCCTCCTTCTATGCAAGCCATCCTTGCGCCCAACATTCCTTCTTCGATTGTTCAGATGCTCGCAGAGACTGCTGACCGTATACTCGAGTACTACCAGCCTCCTGTTACGGTTAACGTCGCTAGTCGAAGCACAACTGCCGCCACAATCGAGGATGCCGTCAAACGCCTGGATGCCCTCACTCTCGAAGTTTCCCAGCTCCGGGCTACTCGTGTCTATAACCCTCGTAGTCCTGCAATTTCTCGCCGCCCGAGATCTCCCACTCCAAACAAACCTACAGTTGATGGTTTCTGTTGGTATCATCACAATTATGGTTCTAACGCCCATCGCTGCCACTCTCCGTGCAAGTATAAAACACCCGCGTCGGAAAACTCCCCTGCCGATCAGTAAGGGCGACGAACGTGATCGGCACATCCTCTCCCAGTCGCTTACTCCACATCTATGACAGGACTTCCTGTCGTAATTTTCTCGTGGATACTGGTGCGGAGATCAGTCTAATCCCACCCACCATGACTGACCGTAAGTCACCAAATTCTTCATTTTTCCTCCAAGCAGCTAACAATACTTCTATTAAAACTTTTGGTCAACGATCCCCAACACTAGATTTGGGTCTAAGACGTTCATTTCGTTGGCTATTTACTATCGCTGATGTCCATACTGCCATTCTCGGCGCTGATTTTATATCCTGTTTCGGTCTCCTCGTTGACATTAAGTCCCATAAATTATTTGATCCTAAGACTTCTTTACATTGTAATTGTTCCACTCGTACCCTTTCGGCACCTAATCCACGCATTTCAACAATCCCTTCGTCTACTCCCTATCATCGTTTACTTTCGGAATTTCCATCTATCACACGACCTTCACAATTTAACCAACCTATCAAGCATTCTGTTGTACATTATATTTCAACTACTGGACCACCCGTGTTTAGCCGTCCCCGTCGTTTAGCCGCCGATAAGTTAGCCATAGCCAAGGCTGAATTCAGCCACATGATGGAGCTAAGCATAGTTAGGCCTTCCACTAGTCCATGGGCTGCACCTCTACATATGGTGTGCAAAAAGTCTCTCGTTGACTGGCGCCCATGCGGGGATTACCGACGGTTAAACACCTCCACTGTGCCTGACAGGTATCCACTTCCCCATCTCCACGACTTTTCATCTAGCCTAGCTGGAGCAACAATATTTTCCAACATCGACTTAGTCAAAGCTTTCCATCAGATACCCGTTGCTCCAGAAGACATTCCAAAACGGCGATTACAACACCGTTCGGTCTGTTCGAGTTTGTCAGGATGCCATTTGGGCTACGCAACTCCGCCCAAACTTTTCAACGTTTCATCGGTGAAGCCCTCCGCGATCTACCTTTCGTTTTTGTCTACGTCGACGATGTTCTGGTAGCAAGTTCCAGTGAACACGAGCACCTACAACAGTTGCCTCTCATTTTTGAACGATTGAGCCAATTTGGCGTTTTCATTAATGTTTCTAAATGCGTTTTTGGCGCACAGTCGCTGTTTTTCCTAGGACATCGCGTAGATGCTTCTGGTTGTCACCCCATAGATGCCAAAGTTTCAGCTATTCGCGATTTCCCTACTCCCACTTCTTTTCAACAACTGCGCCGTTTTATAGGCCTTGTCAATTTCTCTCGACGTTTCATCCCTCATTGTGCTCAACTAATGCTACTTCTTACTAACCTTTTACGCGGGAACAACCGTGAGTTTTCTTTTCCTGACACAGCTGTAGAGGCTTTCAATCGTGCGAGGAAGGCTCTTGCGGATACAACTGTACTTGTTCACCCTGTACCTGATGCCCCACTTTCCATTGTGGCCGATGCTTCTAATTTCGCTATAGGTGCTGCCCTTCAGCAACAGACGCCCACTGGCACCCAGCCCTTGGCTTTCTACTCTGCCAAATTGACACCCCCACAAACTCGCTATAGCACTTTTGGTAGAGAACTTCTTGCAATTTATTTAGCCATTAAGCATTTTCGTAATTATATTTAGGGCCGAGATTTTTGTATTTATACTGACCACAAGCCTCTTACTTATGCCCTCTCTACTTCTTCTGACAAGTATTCACCCCGCGAGGCCCGCCATCTCGATTTTATTTCTCAGTATACCACCGACATTCGATTTCTTAAAGGCCTTTATAATCAAGTTGCTGACTGTCTTTCTCGGCCTGGCATTAATGCCATCACCCGCCCTTCCATCGATTTGGAGCGCATGGCAGAACTGCAAAATCAACCGTCTTTCAGTGAGAGCCTTCAACACACTAGTCTTCAACTCGAAGCCATTCCTCTTTCCACCAACCCCGGTACAATCTTGTGTGACGTATCGCGAGGTGCCTCCCGACGCGTAGTGCCAAGCGAGATGAGACGAGATGTTTTTGTCGCGTTGCACAATCTAGCTCACCCTGGCATCCGCACTACCCAGCGCCTCGTCAGCGAGCGGTTCGTTTGGCCAAGCATGAACACTGATATACGCCAGTGGACCCGTTCATGTTTGGCCTGTCAGAAGGCCAAAGTCGGACGGCACAACAAAGCCCCCATTGGCACTTTTCTCGCACCCGACGCACGTTTTTCACATGTCCATATCGATCTGGTAGGTCCCTTTCCAACATCTCGTGGTTGCAACTACTTACTTACTGCGATTGACCGATTTACTCGTTGGCCCATTGCAACTCCCATACCTAACATAACTGCAGATTCCGTTGCTCATGCTTTTTTGGAACACTGGATTTCTCATTATGGCGTCCCCTCAACCATTACCACCGATCGAGGTCAACAATTCGAGTCTAGACTGTTTAACAGCCTTACCAACCTCCTCGGATGTTCTCGCATACGCACGACAGCATACAACCCCTCATCCAACGGTTTAGTCGAGCGTTCCCACCGGCAACTCAAAGCCTCGCTCCGAGCTCATGACAACCCTTCCCATTGGAGCGAGCATCTGCTTTTGGTCATGCTCGGTATCCGTACCGCACTCAAGCCCGACTTGGAGTGTTCCGCTGCCGAACTTGTCTACGGTACTACCCTACGGATTCCAGGTGATTTTTTCGGGTACTCTCAAAGCTCAGCCGAATTGGATCCCAGCGATTATGTGCAAAGATTGCGCCAAGCCATGACTCATCTTCGAGCCGCTCCTCCACGTCCTTCAACAAGTAAGTCATACGTCGACCCAAACTTACTAACATGTTCTTTTGTATTTGTCCGCATAGATAGCGTTCGCCGGCCACTACAACAGTCCTATGACGGCCTATTTCGAGTACTATCGCGCAAGGACAAGTACTTTACAATTGACCGTGGAGGCCGCACCGACGTGGTTTCAATCGATCGCTTGAAGGCGGCATATACCGAGCCTCTTCCAACTTCTCCAATCGAACAACCCCCACTTGGCACATTGCCACTTGCTATTTCCCAGACTCCATTTACGCCCAATAACCCTGCGTCTTCCCTTATCCCACAGACTCCTCCCCTTACGCGCAGTGGTCGTCGTGTCCGTTTTCCCGACCGTTACCAACTTGTACAATATGCATAACACTCCCACATTTTCCTTCTATTAACAATAATTTTTTTGAACTCCGTTCTCCTAGGAGGGGGAGTATTGTGGTGACATTTAAGTCTGTTTTGTTTTAATCAGTTACAATACGCTTCGACACAACTTTGAATAAGACAAACAACACACACGCGCACTTTTACCTGCCGACGACTTTGTTCTTATTTACTAGTTTGTAACTGTTGGGACACTGCTATTTTCGTATCCTGGATAGCCAACTCGCTGTGCCCAACTAGTGGGTTTGTCTCTTACACGGTGTATGAAGTGACGTAGGACTTTATAGGCCGAAGGAAGGTCTAGATGCCTGTTGATGGAGTTGGCATCTGAGTACCAAGCCTCAAGTGTGAGACGCTCAGTCCTTGAGGTGCCCCTGCCTAAGACGGCTGCTCCTTGAAAATCAAAACCTTGACCAGTTTCCCCGATGTGAGCCGCAAGCTGTGAGTTTGGGTCTAGTCTCCGTGTTGCCGGTTTTTGCTCATGTAGGCGGGTCTGCAATTTCCGTCCGGTTTCCCCAACGTAGTTGCAGTCTCCATCCTTACAACGTATTTGATAGACAACTGCTGAGGTTTCAGTGGGTGGCGGTATGTCTTTGGGTTGCATCAAACGGCGACGAATTGTTGCCTGGGGTCGGTGGGCAATACCTACCCTGGCGGGTTGTAGCAGTCTTGAAACCGCCGCAGAGACTCCTTTAATGTATGGAATAGCCCTCCAGACTTCGGGTTGTTCTTCTTGTGGCCGTCGTCTGTTCACTCGGCGCTTGATTTGCTTGATGAAGTGGCTTGGGTATCCATTGGTTCGAAAGAGATCATGCAGATATTGTCGTTCAACTCTTTTGTCGGCTGGTGTGCTACAGTGTGTTTCAACTCTTTGGAACAGAGTACGGACACAGCTGCGTTTGTGAGAGAGGGGGTGATTGCTGTTGAAGTGCAGTATTTGTCTTGTGTTGGTGGCTTTTCTGAAAACGGTAGTTTGTAATTGTCCAGTTGCACACCGACGCACAAGGACATCGAGGAAGGGAAGTTGGTTCTTTGTTTCGGCTTCCATCGTGAATTGGATATTCTGGTCAACCGAGTTCAGTAATTCTTTAAGGTGCTCCACGTCAGATGATTTGCCAATGGCGAAGGTGTCATCGACGTAACGAGCCCAGAACTTTGGTTGATACTTGGTGAACACCAAGTGTTCTATCCGTTGAAGAACCACTTCAGCAATCAGCCCTGATATGGAGGAGCCCATAGGGGTGCCTTTGATTTGTTCATACATTTGTCCCCCAAAGGTGAAATATGTTTTTAGGCAATAGCGTAAGAGCTCCATGAGATGTTCAGTCTTCAGGGGATTGTCTCTCTCGTTGTAGCGATCAGCCAGGAGTTGTCTCACAACGTCAATCGCTAGTTGTTGTGGAATGGAGGTAAAGAGTGAAACGACATCAAACGATAACATGGATTCATCTGGCTCTAGTTTCAGATGTTTTAAACGTTCAAGGAACTGATTAGCAGAGGCCACTGTTGTTGGCGATCCTTCTGCCAGGAACTTAAGACGAGCAAACATCCATTTTGCCCAACCGTATGTAGGAGTACCACGTAGGGAGACGATGGGTCTAAGAGGTATGTTAGTTTTGTGTACCTTCGGAAGACCATAAAACCGCGCGGTGGCAGAGTCAGAGGGTTTCATAAGAAACCAATCTTAAACAGTGATTGCTCCATTCGCTCTGAGTTTTGCCAGGCTTTTGTTTATTTGAGTAAGCAGATTTTTCATCTCACTGGCTGGACAAGGTTTATAGGACTGCGTGTCGTCGAGTAGGCTCAAAGTTATCTTCTGGTAATCGGATTTGTCAAGCACAACATTCACAGGCGACGGCCAGTAGGCCAAGGCAGAGAAAGAAGAAAAAAATCGATCAGCCCAAGACCAACTAATTCGGCAGTCTATTCAAAGATGCTGATCGATTTTTTCACTTGACGCTTTGACAATGGAGAGCAGCCCCAGCTCTTCGAAACGCCAGCCAGAAAAGTCCCCTGATCCGGTGAGCAATTCATTCTCCTCTAATTTTGTTCTGCCCAGCTTGGATTTCGTCGTGATTTTTCATGTCTTACTAGTAGTCTTTACTCACAGGAAAAATGGACAAAAGCCGCATACTAGGGCCGTCCAGTGGACGCCATCTTCTTCGACATCAAGAGGGCTTTTATTAGCATATCTCAGAGAAGACTCTTAAGTCAGTTTAAGTCAGTTTATTAAGGGAATGAGGCTTTCGCCCTTGAGCACCCTATTCATGTCGATAAACAGAAATAAAGTCATCAATTACATCAGCAAATGCGAAAAGTTAAGAAGTTAGCATTAAGTGTGAGCCAGGCGCAAACTGCCGCCGCTAAAACAATCATGATTGTATGTACAGTAGGTTCTCAACAAGTG